GGAAAAAAAGCTAATTTTTGATCGCACAACAGGTTTTCGATGACTACTCGAACCGATTTTACACCACTATTTCGGCTGATGTGAATTTGTCTACCTGCATTACGAGGCTAATCTTTGCATTTTGTGAATTGTCAGCGGATTCCGCAACAGGGAAGCGCATTTTTTTTTATTTGATCTTTTTTTTCTTTTGATCGTTCCGACAAATTGTTAACATGTTTGAGGATTTGGATTTTGAATCCAGTAACATACAGACACAAAATTTTGCGTCTATCCAATGCACAGTTTGGCGTGGCAATGTGGCACAAAATCAAGTTTTTTTGATAGTCAGTTGGGCAGCAATTTTGTCCTGTGGTGCTGTGAGGAAATCAAGGTCTTTGTCATTTGCGTTCGGCTACAAAGAAAGCTCTATAGTTTTAGAAAATTAATTTTAGAGAAAAAATCAATTTTTTGGAATATGGAAAATCATTTATCATACAATATTAGTATATGGAAAAAGGCTTATCACAAAAATTTTATACATTTTCCTGCACTTAAGGAATTGTATCCCAAAAAACTTTTCATTTATGGAAGTTGCATTGAAATTTTGGTCTACCCGGTTAAAGTAGAAAAAAATCTAGCAGAATTCATATTGTGAGTTTGATTGAAAAAATTTGGCCTAAATTTTACATCAAAAGTTTTTTCAGAGAGTCCATTGTCAAAACTTATCCTACTGACTAATGGGGGATCGAGAGAAAGATTCCATCCGCGGCTTTGAAGGAATTGTAAGTGCAGTTAGCATCAGAAAGATTCTCTACTTTGCACCAATCTAAAAATTGAAATTTTACAATATATATGTTTTTTATTTTTTAATTGTCTGGTTTATTTCGAGACAGCCTAGAACTAACTGTTTGAATTAGGATTTGAGATCGAAAAAAAGCTATTTTTTGATCTCACAACAAGTTTTCGATGACTACTCGAACCGATTTTACACCACTATTTCGGCTGATGTGAATTTGTCTACCTGCATTACGAGGCTAATCTTTGCATTTTGTGAATTGTCAGCGGATTCCGCAACAGGGAAGCGCATTTTTTTATATTTGATCTTTTTTTTCTTTTGATCGTTCCGACAAATTGTTAACATGTTTGAGGATTTGGATTTTGAATCCAGTAACATACAGACACAAAATTTTGCGCCTATCCAATGCACAGTTTGGCGTGGCAATGTGGCACAAAATCAAGTTTTTTTGATAGTCAGTTGGGCAGCAATTTTGTCATGTGGTGCTGTGAGGAAATCAAGGTCTTTGTCATTTGCGTTCGGCTACAAAGAAAGCTCTATAGTTTTAGAAAATTAATTTTAGAGAAAAAATCAATTTTTTGGAATATGGAAAATCATTTATCATACAATATTAGTATATGGAAAAAGGCTTATCACAAAAATTTTATACATTTTCCTGCACTTAAGGAATTGTATCCCAAAAAACTTTTCATTTATGGAAGTTGCATTGAAATTTTGGTCTACCCGGTTAAAGTAGAATAAAATCTAGCAGAATTCATATTGTGAGTTTGATTGAAAAAATGTGGCCTAAATTTTACATCAAAAGTTTTTTCAGAGAGTCCATTGTCAAAACTTATCCTACTGACTAATGGGGGATCGAGAGAAAGATTCCATCCGCGGCTTTGAAGGAATTGTAACTGCAGTTAGCATCAGAAAGATTCTCTACTTTGCACCAATCTAAAAATTGAAATTTTACAATATATATGTTTTTTATTTTTTAATTGTCTGGTTTATTTCGAGACAGCCTAGAACTAACTGTTTGAATTAGGATTTGAGATCGAAAAAAAGCTATTTTTTGATCTCACAACAGGTTGCCGATGGCTTCTCGAACCGATTTTACACGACTATTTCGGCTGATGTGAATTTGTCTAACTGCATTACGAATCTAATCTTTGCATTTTGTGAATTGTCAGCGTTTTCCGCAACAAGGAAGCTCCTTTTTTAGATTTGTTCTTTCAATTCCTTTGATTGTTCCGACAAATTGTTAACATCTTTGAAGACTTGTATTTTGAATCCAGTAACATACCGACACAAAATAAAGCGCCTAACCAGTGCACAGTTTGGCCTGGCAATATGGTACAAAGTCAATTTTTTCCGATAGTTAGTTGGGCAACGTTTTTAAGAGATCAAGCAGTTGAACAGTGAGTTTTTGACTGTTGAATGGTCAGCACCAATGTCATATAATTAGACGGTTCAAATTTAAATTATCCTGATTTATGGAAAATATCCTCTCATCAAACTTTGATAGGCTACATAAGGTGCTGGTTTTGGATTTTGAATCCAGTAACATACAGACACAAAATTTTGCGCCTATCCAATGCACAGTTTGGCGTGGCAATGTGGCACAAAATCAAGTTTTTTTGATAGTCAGTTGGGCAGCAATTTTGTCCTGTGGTGCTGTGAGGAAATCAAGGTCTTTGTCATTTGCGTTCGGCTACAAAGAAAGCTCTATAGTTTTAGAAAATTAATTTTAGAGAAAAAATCAATTTTTTGGAATATGGAAAATCATTTATCATACAATATTAGTATATGGAAAAAGGCTTATCACAAAAATTTTATACATTTTCCTGCACTTAAGGAATTGTATCCCAAAAAACTTTTCATTTATGGAAGTTGCATTGAAATTTTGGTCTACCCGGTTAAAGTAGAATAAAACCTAGCAGAATTCATATTGTGAGTTTGATTGAAAAAATTTGGCCTAAATTTTACATCAAAAGTTTTTTCAGAGAGTCCATTGTCAAAACTTATCCTACTGACTAATGGGGGATCGAGAGAAAGATTCCATCCGCGGTTTTGAAGGAATTGTAAGTGCAGTTAGCATCAGAAAGATTCTCTACTTTGCACCAATCTAAAAATTGAAATTTTACAATATATATGTTTTTTTATTTTTTAATTGTCTGGTTTATTTCGAGACAGCCTAGAACTAACTGTTTGAATTAGGATTTGAGATCGAAAAAAAGCTATTTTTTGATCTCGCAACAGGTTGCCGATGGCTTCTCGAACCGATTTTACACGACTATTTCGGCTGATGTGAATTTGTCTAACTGCATTACGAATCTAATCTTTGCATTTTGTGAATTGTCAGCGTTTTCCGCAACAAGGAAGCTCCTTTTTTAGATTTGTTCTTTCAATTCCTTTGATTGTTCCGACAAATTGTTAACATCTTTGAAGACTTGTATTTTGAATCCAGTAACATACCGACACAAAATAAAGCGCCTAACCAGTGCACAGTTTGGCCTGGCAATATGGTACAAAGTCAATTTTTTTCGATAGTTAGTTGGGCAACGTTTTTAAGAGATCAAGCAGTTGAACAGTAAGTTTTTGACTGTTGAATGGTCAGCACCAATGTCATATAATTAGACGGTTCAAATTTAAATTATCCTGATTTATGGAAAATATCCTCTCATCAAACTTTGATAGGCTACATAAGGTGCTGGTTTTGATTTAGTTTTGTTGACTATTGACAGAACATTGCCAAATGGACCGTTTTTGGGAAAATTTATGCTCCAAAATTCGCAAAGTCAATTGCGCCAAAATAATTCTGCTAAGACTCCTAGAAAACTTTGTCTTCATCTTTTTTTACCAAAACCTTGTTCGCATTGAAATTATGGTGATATTGCATTAGAAAAAATATGGCCGAATTTTTACATCAAAAGCTTTTTCAGGAGTTCATTGTAAAAACTTATCTTACCGACTATTAAAGGATCGAAAGAAATATTTCATCTGCGGTTTTGAAGGAACTGTAAGTGTAGTTTGCATCAGAAAGATTCTATACTTTGCAACAATCTTGAAACTGAAATTTTACATTAGTTATATTTTATATTATTTAAATGTCTGCTTTATTTCGAGAGAGTCTGGAACTACCCGAGATTGATCGAGGACTTGAGATCAAAAAAAGCTATTTTTTGATTACACAACAGGTTGCCGATGGCTTCTCGAACCGACTTTACACCACTATTTCGGCTGATGTGAATTTTTCTACCTGCCTTACGAGGCTAATCTTTGCATTTTGTGAATTGTTAGCCCATTCCGCAACAGGGATCTCCTTTTTTATTTTGTTCTTTTATTTCCTTCGATCCTCCGACAAACTGTTAACATAATTGAAGACTTGGATTTGGAATCCAGTAACATACAGGCACAAAATGTGGTACAAACTCAAGTCTTTTGATAGTCAGTTGGGCAACGATTTTAACAAGTCAGGCAGTTGAACCGTGAGCTTTTGACTGATGAATGCTTTCTACCAATATAATAATATTAGGTGGTTCAAATTTAAATAGTTCTGACTTATAAAAAAATATCCTCTCTTCAAACTTTGATAGGCTATATAAGGGGCTGGTTTGATTTAGCTTCGTTAACTATTGACAGAATATTGCCAAAAAGGACCGTTTTTGGGATAATGTTTGGGTCCAAAACTCGCAAAGCCAAATGCGCCAATATAATTCTGCTAAGCCTCTTAGAAAACTTTGTCTTCTTTTTTTTTTATCTATACGCAACCCAATTTGAGAAAGTCGCGTTTTGGATAGCAATTTTTTTTATTTTGTCGGAATATTTGAATATTTTGAAACAAACTAGATTTATTCTGTTAAGAAGCTAATATAAGCTGAATATATACTTTGTTTTTTACAAATAGTTTCAGAACTAAACCAGTTTTTTCTTCACAATTTTTTTTTTGAAATTTTCTTGAGCACTGTTCCATGGACGTTAAATGGCAGCCAGATGATTCAGGGCATCGCCCTAAGACGATCAGCCTTTTTTTGTACAGATTTGATCAAAATCAAACAATAATTACAAACTTGAAAAAGCTGGCCTAAATTCACGAACAGATTCACCTACAAATTTGGTTAAAAAAATTACGGTCAGATTTCGAGCCCCCACTCATGAACTTTCGTCTGGTCAAATCTGGTCAACTTTCGAGCCAACTGTGTTGTCATCAACTATAGTCTGAAAATATAAGCTCTAAAAACTGTTGTACATCATGTAGTTTGTGCAAAATATACAAAACTCGCCGAGTGTGATAACTTTATGTGTAAAATAGACACAACTCTTTTCAGCAGATTGTACAAACAGTTAGTCGTGTCATTATTTTTATTCTGTTATCATAATTTGAAATAAAACACGGGACAGCATTCTGAAATTGATTTTAAACATGGCATTTCGTTGGTTGACTACATCGTTAATTTTGCGTGCCGTGATTGCGTGCCTGATTGTAAGTGATATAGCTTTCAGAATATCAGATTAGAGGGGGGGGGGGGCAGGAAGTATCAGTGGGGATACCGCTCGAGGGTAGGGGTTAAGGAGGTCAGATAATTTTAAAAGCCACATTTTCTCGACATGGCCAAATAAAATGACGGGTTCACTTCGAAAACCTATTTTTCTAACCTTCATACATCGTAAAGGCCTGTCATAAAAACCTATAAAAGGCCAAATAAAGTTACTGGTATCAAGACAAAAATTTTAGTGTCCCCAATGCCCTTTTGGACATTTGCAGTAGGTTTAGAAAAAGACGAATACCAAAATTGAAGTTTAATTGTGCGTTATTGATTCGAATCAGTTTGTTTTGGTTCCATTTGGGATGAACCCGATTAAAAAATGCGTCCAAAAATCGATTTAGTATCCCCAATTTAGTATCCCCAATCGGCTAATTTAACAAAATTTCAAATCCAAAAATTGATAATTAAGTAGACTCCAAAAATGAATTGCGAGAAAAACGTTTTTATATAACGCAAAAAATTATCAAAAATACGTTTTTAATCGCAACTTCAGAACTCTCACCCTAATGTTATGATTCGGCAGAACAGTAAATGATACGAAATGAAAAACAATTATCGTGTGCTACGCCAAAAACATGATAAAAAACTGTTCAAAAACTGGGGTGAGCACATGTATACTAACGCTTGCAAATCAAAAAAAAGTTAGAGTTTCTAAGCTTAAGTGAGCGAGTCAATGCTAGAATTTGTTTTAATTGATATTAAATTTTCACCGAATGTTTGCGTTAGGCGTGGCGTTTTTCTTCGTCCAACAATTGATTACAGTTTTTTCATTAAGTACAAAAGATATTGATGCCTGAGTTCAAAAACAAAACACTTTCTGAAATGTTATGGGATTAAAAAATCGAAATTCAGCCATTTCGGGTAACAAAGGGCAAACCATTTCAGAAACCTTTCAAAGCCAACTTTAAAAAAAGTGCGTGAAATTAAAAAGGACAGAAACTACCGAAATTGGTTAACCGAAACCTACTTCATAGATTTTAAAGCGCAGTCAGAACTATCAGGGCTTTCCTCTTTCCTGTGATACAAACAGTCTTGTTGTTCCGATTTTTGATGAAACAGACGAAATATATGAGATGTTTTTTTTTCTCCAGAAGACTTTCGTTAGTTTAACTGGAGGTTCTTGAGCAATTTTGTTTTACAGTCTGAAAATTATTCATTCAGAGGGCTAGAAACTGTTATTGTTCCGACTTTCGATACGAAAGTAAAGGAATATTTGTGCTCGAAGGGGGGGTTTTTTTTTCTTCAGACAAACTTCGACTTTTTAACTAGCCATTTTTGACGGATTTTTTTGTATCATTCAGAAGGTATTGTTATCTTGAGCTTGAATTTGAAAAGATATTTCACCTGTGATCACTTTTCGTAAAGTTATAAGGGTTTAAAGATTGCCATTTTGGCCATTTTGACCAATTTGGGACAATTAAGGCGCGATAGAATTCGCGCTATTAACGCGTAAGCGGAGATTTAATCCGTCTTATAAATCGTTTCAAATTGGTTGAACGAAGCTTATGTGCCATAATTGATTTGTTACAAGGAACCAACTCGATCTTTTTTAAATTTTATATGGCGTGTGGGGGGGATGATTTCAATAACAAAAAAAGTTTTCAAATTTTAGAATTTTTTTTCATTTTAATTTATTAAATATATATTTTTTATGTTATTACTGCTGCTCCATAAACCAAAAGGCAGTCGGAACATTCAGGGCTTCGCCCTGATACGAGCAGTCTTGTTCTACTACGGTTCAAATCTCTCAAAATTAAAATGGTTTGAATTTTGTACGTTTTGATGAATATAATTCGATTTGGTATAACTAACGCGTAATATATTTTGTTCAAGCATCAAGCTCAAGCAGCAAACGGAATAATTCCGAACATAACTTCGGCACAGTGCTCTTATTTATACAACACTACACGCAAAACGTTTTACTCGGCACTGTACATATCGAGTAGAGGATTTAAATCAGATACAAAAAAAAACATATTGACTGATAGAGGGAGTCGATTTTGACATAAAACTGACTTCGAACTTAAAGAGGAATATGGAACGCTTAGGGTTTTGTCCTGTATCGAGCATTTGTCCTAATCTGAAACTAATCTTGTAAAACAACTTGCGCTTACATTCGCTTTTACCGGAATGTGATTCGTATGATCTTCATTTCACACCTGAAAGTGATTTCACGAGTTCACGTACGATTTTTTTTGGTGTGATAATGTGATGATTGGTTCCTTTTTCCATGTAGAAGGACTAGTCAAACACAACTTTTTTTGTTTAAAATCAGAGGAACGTTAGCTCTAAGCAAGACGTTTTGAGTTGCTAATAAAAGCAGTGCAGTTGAAAAGTTTAGTTTGAGCCAACAAACTGTTTTGCAGAATTGTAGATCTTGTGTTAACTATTTAGGTACCAGTATTCAGTATGCTAGTAGCATTATGGCTTTTCTCAGATACAAAACATCTGGATCTTCTGGACAAATCTCCTGGACTCCGATCGGGATGGGAGGATGTCAAACAACACTTGAAAATTGAAGAGGTAAGTTTTCGACCTAATAGCTTTGCATTTTTTGAGGTATGTCTGCATTCAATTTCAGAGAGTTATTTTTGTTCCAACTGTTGGAGAAAGTACGGAGCATTTATGCCTTGGGTGGTTTTCTATTCAGTCAAACTCTGGATGATTAACTTGAGATTTTTGACGGATTTTCTTATACCATTTGAAAGATTTTCTGACTTAATTCCAATTTGAAAAGATATTTTACCATTTTTGTCCACCAGATAAGATTTTTTTGTCAATTGGAAAATTATTCATTTGACATTTTCGAACAATTAACTTGCGATATATTCGTAAGATGCGTAAGCAACGGATTAGTGCGTTCCAAATCGAATTGAGGCCAGTTTTTTAGTCATAATAAACTATTTCGAGACGCTAAACGTACCCTTTAAATTTTAAATTGCGGAGAAAATGAAGAAAAAATGAGAAAAAAAATGTTCCTCTTTTAATTATTTCGAAAATTATTCAATCAAGGTTTTTAGAATAGCTTTAAAACCAGTCGGGACATTCAAGTATTCAAGCTCTCAAATACAAGCCTTCGAGACGCTAAACTTACCCTTTAAGTTTTAAATTGCGGAGAAAATGAAGAAAAAATGAGAAAAAAAAGTTCCTCTTTTAATTATTTCAACAATTATTCAATCAAAGATTTTAAAATAGCTTTAAAAGCAGTCGGGATATTCAAGAATTCAAGCCCTCAAACACAATGAATATATATGTCGAAAACGAAAATTAAGAATCCCACATGTAAGAAAAGTGAAAAGAAATCAAAAGAATGGACTTTTTTGGCCAAAAAGGTGAACAATATAATCGGTTTCCAAAATAGTTTTGAAAACTTCTTTTAAAAAAGAGTTAATTTTGTGTTTTGCATTAAAAATAAAAAAGCTTTCGATTATAATTGCCTTGCAATGAGAATTACTTTTGTAATTTCTAGCATTATAACCCATATATACTCGTTTCTATTCGACTACTTTTAACTTCTATTGACACTGACAAAAACCTCAAACTCAATCATCATTATCCCTGGAACTCCAGTGCCGGATGCTTGCGTCCACATTAGAGTCAATGCTTCAAAGTAAACTAGAAAAATTTCTACTCGTCTTTTATAAATATTCTGACTGGGCTGTTCTTTCTGAGTACTGGATTACATAATATTTTTTCTCCTTTTCTAAGAATTATTTAGCAGAAAATGAAACAGAGTCCCCAACTAAATGGAACTCTTGACTGTTGTGATTTTTGAATAGTTTCTTAGTGCCCGCACCCCAATTGAATAGGCTTCAAATGAGTACCGCTTTTTGACACCTTATGCTTAATCTTGACGGAAAAAGATTTTGAAGAACAAAAATCAATTTCACAATTCTCTTAAATTTTTCATTTTCATAGTTTTTTTTCATAAATATATGCACTTTTGCATTGTTTTTTTTGTTAGTTTCCTTAAACGCATTTTAAACATATGATTTGAATTTAAAAATTGAATTTTGTTTTCAGGGGCATATCAAAAATGTTTTTAAAAGAACGGGTTGTCTCAAACAGTCTCAAACAAACAATCAATTTTATAAAGCATCAGAACCAGGAATCTTATTTTTTTTTGACCAAAAGGAGTATTTTTTGGCAATAATCAGTTTTCAAAACGATTTAACCAGTTTTGTACTTTTCAAACAAGAGTTTGGTTAACGTTCTTCTCTGAAATGAGGGGAAGGTCCAGAATTCATTGATGAAAGGCAAAAATTCTGGTCCTAAAAACAACAAAAACTAGCTTAGATTTCAAGGCTGTCAACAAAGCAAACACCGCCAGTTTATTAGGACAAATGAAAAATTGGCTGGATCATTGTCAATTTCACTTGAAACTGAATGGGTTCCCCTTTTTGTTTCTAAAGAAAGTTATGTCTTTGGGATCGTTTATTCAGGCGCAGATCAAGATGATGTTATCCTTGATCCGGTCTTGAACAACGATAAGCAGTGCCGAAAAACCCAATTCTGCAAAAACACTTAATCATCCTTGTTTTAGGTTTTTATTGGAATCAGTAATGATTGGCATTTTTCGAAAGCGCAGAGGGGCAGTATTTTTTCTAATTGAAAAAAAGAGGGAAAAAATGTGACACAAAAAAAATTCATTGGCGGGGTTTAACTGACTTGGTAGTCACAAACGTTAAATTTTTTTCGCCGTTGCTTGAAATGCGTTAAAAAACTGAGGAAAAAATCAAAAGCACATATTATTTTAAAAATTTAAAAGTCTACAGTAAGCTGGGCATCGAAACTAACTTTTTATTCAATGAACTGACAAGAAATTACCTGTCATCTGTGATTTTTGTTTATTTTGAATTATTTAACATGTTTCAAAGTGGTATATATATTTGGATTAGAAAACGCGCCAAGTTTTTGATTAAGCTAACGTACTCCAAAGGCCCAGGACTTTGTCACTCTCAGAGTACTCTGGATTTTTCTTTTAAAAATATCTCAAACATATAATGTTATTTTGATCATGACGTAAAAAACTTCTGAAAAATATATAAAAAAAACATATTTTAGGACTACTCTAATAGATTATGTAGTCTTTGCAGTTTTTAGCAGGTATTTAAATTAAAATTTTGTAGCGTTTATTACGTTATATCAGTTGAAGTTATTAGAAATACGATTTTCTTAATTACTTGAACCAGTACTCTAAGAATGAGAACTGGCCTGATTTTGCTGTAGACACTCGTCGAACCGGAATATTTTTAGAAAAACGGATTACTTTCCTACTTCTTCACGGAATCAACGATCAGAAGATTTTCTCAAGAAGGGTAAGTTTTGTTTTAATAACATATTTTGTAGTAAATTATCCAAAAACGGACACAAAATTCAACGTTTTAAACACTCTTTCACATTAAAAAAATTCGATGGTACATAACTATTTTTCATTCGAATTTAAAAACTCTTTTATGGATAAAATAAATCCTGGTCTGACTTGTTAATTAAAAATTTTAGGATGGTCATACAATATAAAGGGAGGGTTGACCTACAAAAAAGTTAACACATGCAGAAAAGAATTGTGTTGTATTGAGAATTTAAAAACAATCCTATTGTGATGCTAGGATTTATCCATTGCATTATACATTTATGCTCCGGTGGTTTAAAAATTTCGATTTGGGTTGGATTGTTTGCGCTCCGATAACTTTTTCACCAAGCAAATTTCAAATTTTTAACTAGCCTTTTTCGGGGTAATTTATTTTTACAATCAGAAAACTTCCGTTGTCCTGAGCACAAAATTAAAAAACAGAATTCAAGTCTTATATCTTCTAAATAAAAAGTTATTTTTTTTTGTAATAGCGTGGAGAGGGAATATTTTCAAAACAAAAGTAAAGTGTCTTTTAGTTTTTTTCCAGGTTTGTTGAAGATTTTATCACTTTCTTCTAAATTAAAAACTACTCCTTAAATGTTAAACGGCAGTCGGGGCATTCAAAGCGTCGCCCTTAATTGCAATTTTGTTGTTTTTGAAGAGGTTAAACTTTTTGATCCAACTTTCGTAACAAAAGCAACGGAATGTTTGTGCTCGGGTTTTCAATATTGCCATTTCGAACAACTTGGTACAAAATATTCACGATCTATTTTGCTACTTTGACGCGTAGGCAGATATTTAATCAATCTAAGAACTGTTCCAAATTTTTAAAGGACGCTTGTTCGAAACAGTTTATTTGTAAATAGTATCAAAACTTATCACTTTGTAGTTTATATGGGGTGTGGGGGGATAATTTTCACCCATATATCTCAAAATACAATAAAAACTTCTTTTTTATTATGTTTAGTTTTTTCTGTTTTTACTGTTCCATAGAACTTAAAGGGCAGTCGAAAAAGGGATTATCACTGAGACGAGCAGTCTTCATGTTCCGACTTTTGTAACGACAGTAACGGAATATTTAAGCTCGGATGGTTTTTTCTTTAGACAAGTTTCGATTTCTTAACTAGCAACTTTTGACGGATTTTTTTTTTACATCATTCAAAAGTATTGTTTTCCTGAGCCTGTATTTGAAAAAGCTTTCCCTTTTCCTCTTCCTCTTTTTCCTTTTCCTTTCACCTCACACATGCATCAATTTTATGGTGTAACGGATGGTTTTGCAAGGTTAATTATGATGACCGAATATGTTTGCCATGGCCTGAATAGTCCGTACGCCAATTTTCATAACAATCGTATGATGTGAACAAAGTTTTCATTTACAAAATTTTGCAGGTGGGGAAAGGGATAAAAGCTAGATTTTTCACCTGTGATCATTTTTTGTGAAGCTATGGTGGTTTAAATAATGCCATTTTGACCAACTAGGTACAAATAACGCGCGATATATTTCGCGCTATTTAGGCGTAAGCGGAGTTTTATTCCGTCTTGGAAATCGTTCCATATTGGTTGAACGAAGGTCATTTGCCATATTTGGTTTGATAAAAAGAGCGAATTTTATCACTTCGATTTTTAAATGGCGTGTGGGAGATGATTTTCACAAAAATCTCAAATTTTGAAATTTTTTTATGTTTAATTTTTTCATGTTACTATTGTTCCATAGACCTTGAGAAAGCGCCGGAACATTCGGCGTTTTGCCCTGATACGAGCAGTATTGTTCGCATTTAGAAAACATGTGGTGTTTTTAATAGCTAAAAACTGGTTTGGAAAGGAAAAGCTCTTCACTTTCTTATACATGTGGTTACCACAGGATGTTTGACGTCAGAAAAAAATTTGATTGCAAAATCCAAATAAAATTGTCCTAGATTGATATTAGTTTTGAACTTTTTGTTCCGGGCCATTTTCATGGTGGACCCGATCCATGCAAAATTTTGGGCATACAATTTCTATAACTTGGAACTTTGCATGTACGAAAACTGAACGAAAAGTGCAGGACTAGTTAAAACAATTTCGCAATTCGAACTATAAAGTGGATCAACAATTGCAAAATTGTAGTGGAGAACTATGGAAGGTAATTTGCAGGAAAATATTCCAAGATGCAAATGCGCAGTTCGATTCAAGTCTAAACAGCTGACCGTTTTCTTTTTTATAATAATGAAATATTATGAAGAAAGAACAGAATGTGTCGTCATAATACATACCAAATCCAAATATGGAATTGCAGGACTAGCATACACATTTTTTTCAAACTGAGTCTTTCGAAGAGATAATGCCAATCTTGTCAATTATATTCAATGTTAAATCAAGTAACTTGTGAGATCCGGCACACAAGATTTTCGGCTAAAAATAGATTATGTTGAAAAAATCTTGCTAAAAAGGTTTCAAAAAATCGATTATGTGTAATCAAAATAAGCAACGTTTTCTATTTTGTTAGCGTTAAATTTTGTTTAGTAATTATTTAATAGGTAATCTGTTTTTTTTGTCACTTAATCCAAGAAAATCTGTATCATATAAATCTAATATGCAAAAAAATCAATTTTTGTCTCCATAGAATCGACTCCAAATATGTTTAAAAACATGACTTACTCTATGTAAGAATTTAAATTTTAAAGCTGAAATCCAAAAGTAAAAGCAATCAACATGAATCATTGTTACGATGGATTATCTTATAGTAACCGGAAAAATCGCTTCTTGCTAAACTTTACTTTAAAACAGTTTAATTATTTGATATTTTCAGTTCCAAAACATTTTGAGGCAAAAGATTGATGAATAAATAAGCAATCGAATCTAAAATTAAGATCAACCAAAAAAACAGCCTTGCGAAAAAAAATTACTAAAAACTACCACCCAAAAAATTAATTGTTGCAAGGGTTTCTTAGAAACTCCTAATGTTTCTTAATTCCGGAAAACCTGAAGGAAAAAATCGACGATTAAAAGCACCACTAAAAATTCTCAATGCGGTAAAATAGTGAAGTACAAAAATCGAGGTATGGTACATAGAAAAATTTAGCTAAAAACTCGAAACTTACTAGTAATAACCTTTATCCCGAAGATTAATACGTTTTGACAATAAATTTAGTCTTCCTAATTTCCGAATTCTTGTTCTTTGACCTAGTTTAGGTAATAATCTCTTCTTTTCTTTCCAAATTCTTTTTGTCGAACTTTGATCTTTGTAGTTAATTTTTGCTTTTAAATCTGAATTAAACGTTTTCAACCAATGGTTTGAACTAATGGTTGATTTCTGTCAACTAGCTCATTTCCCTGGAACTAATTATGTTCAAACGTGCAGTAAAACTCATCGTAAAAAATTTGATTCCCAATTTATTGTTTTGAATTTGTTTCTTTTTTGGTCGGATTTTAGTTGGTCTTTCTTTCGAAGCTTCCAATAATATGGAAGGTTTGATTACAGAGATATGTTCACGGGCTCTGCTATTAGAAGGTTTTTCTTCTTGCAGCTCTGTTTGTGAGTAGATCCCCTGCAAAAATCTTCAATCCAATAATTGAAGTTTGGGCGAACTGTTATCAGATTTATTGCTTTTACATTGACAACACTAATACAATAACACAAGAAATTTTTTCGAATAGAAGGGCAATATTCTCAGTTTGTTTTGCTTTATTGGCTTGTAAGCGTGAATTCTCTAACCTTTGTTAGAAATATATACTTTCATTGCTCTTCAAGCAGGTAACAAATCCCCGAAAGTTTCTTCCCCTAATTCTCACTGAGCAGTCCTTTTTATCCCTTTGGCGCGGATTTTTTGATCGCCCCCTAAACGTAACCAAAATTAATTTTCGTTTATACCAGGGAAAAGAAAACTAACTTTAAAGCAATCCATTTCTGAAAAGTTTCACTCAACCTCTATTTCTGAAAATCAACCTGCTCCGAACTAAAGTTCATCATCACTTTATTCCAGAGCAGAAGATCCCAACAATTTTTTTTTAGCAAATGTAAGGAGAAAAATATACTTCTATTTGTTTTCAGATAATTCAACGCTGACGCAACATTGAATACTGTAACTTCAATTAAATTTTTACCGTAGTTTGATATAATAAAGCAAGGGGATTGTGATGTTGGTGTTTTTCTTGATAAAATGGAGAAATGTGGAGAAGGGCTTTTAAGTCACCATTTAGGCGATCGAAAAAAAAAATTTGTCCCTGTTTTACAATTTTTTCTGATCTTGTTTTTTTAAATTTTATTAAATGGTCAAAGACCATACAAAAAGAAATGGTATTTTCTTTGTGTATGGTCAAAGTCGGCCTTTTTGCTCAGTCCCTGTAAGCGTCATCAGTTTTCATAGCGTAAAAAATCTATCCATGTTGGAGTACAAGAGTTTCAAATCTAGATTTAGTTTTTTTTATGATTGAAATTGAATTTTAAAAAGCTTGACGAGGTCCGTAATGGTGGCACAAACTATCATTCGGTGTGATAACCGATCTCTCACAGTCGGAAACTTTTATCTGTAGAGGTCTTGTCAGGAAAAAAATTGTGTTAAATAATGGTTTGAATATACTGACTGAGCTACCAAACTGAAAAAGAGAAAATGAAATGTGTGAATCGTTAATGGGATCAGAAAAAGAGTGGCATGACTCATTAGGTTGAAATTAATATCTTTCAACTGAAATTAGCATTTTTTATTCTATCTAAGTGACGCTGATTTGAATTCAAGTTTGTATATGAAAACTTGGCTCTTTAGATGTAATTGTTAGAAAAATTTTGGTAGGTTCGTGCCATGAACACTGAATTTCTGTTTTCTGGTGAAAATGCCAATAATCGTTTTTCAGGTAGGTAAAAAATTATTATCATGTTTCTTAGCCTTCGCTTAACTGTTTTTTTTTTAAAGTCATTCAATAAAAAACAGATGAACTATTTAAGGTTTTGAAAATGTACAAGGCCTAAAAGCAATTAAACTCGAGCAA